CAAGAATTAACAATTTTTTCAACTGCTAAATAATAATATATATAATGAATTTACTTTGAATTTCTTGCCAAATATTGTATGCCAATGGTCTAATAATATAACACCCAGAAACTTCTTCGTAATATTCCAACATTTCCGAGCGTTTCAGAACCTTTAATTATACCAAAAATAAAGTTAGTAATATAGACACCGAAATATGTTTATATATGCAATTCTATTGTATACCTGAGTATACCATGTAGAGAAATCAGCATCCTTCCTAACTTCAATTCCAATCTGAGAAGCTCCCTCGATATGAACTTGAAAAAGATAATACGAGGGATATAAAAGATCGATTTAAATATTATAATATATATATTATTGTTTTTTTTTTACGTACCCTCAGCCTTTTTCGTGTTTTTTTTTGCAGTCGGTTTTTTAGACTGACTGTAATAAATTAAAAGTAAAAATTTGCAACTTGAAAGAAAACACGTTGAACTTTATTAACCTTCGATTGGTTGCCTCAGTTTTAGGGGATTCTTGAACCGACATTTTTCAAAGCGTTTTTAGATAACAGAATTGAAAATATAAACGCGATGGATGTGGCTTTGAGTAGATTTTCTTCTTACTATGTAAGATCACCAAAATTCCGGGTCGATATTTGGCCGGCATTTGGTAATACCCTATAACTGATTCGAAAAAATTATACCAAATACGAAGAACAAATACATTAAGCTCTACTTCTAGCTAGCATAGCATTCTTTAATTTCGAATGGTCTGATTAACGAAATTAACGAATTGTTTAACCACGAGATCGACAAGTTAATGGGAATAGGGTATATATTCGGAAACTACACTTTTCGCTTTATACTCGGTCAAAATAACCGTTAAAAAAACAGAAATAATCATAAAGGTTACTTATGAAGGGTATTTTTTTTCGGCTGGTCATTATTAGAAATCTACACAACTAACTCGCATCTTATTAAACAGGTTCTATATTTAAGTGTTTTCGCGGATTTTTCTTTTATTTGACCTAGGTAAGAAATAAGATCTACTGTATTTATGAGATTATTTTCTAAGCGAATATTTTAAGCTTAAAACAGTAGTAAATCTACGTTTAAAAATAAAAAGTTTATAAATACATTTTAATATAGTTTATTTAATTAA